CTGGGCTATCTCGATTATCACTTCAAAACTTTTTTTTCTCTTACTTAATTGGCCTCTCAGAGTTGGTAAGACAACTCCCAACTGTTCATGCTCTCTGTATTTGTGTATATATATCTCCTCAATATTTTTTCCACTCTATATGCATCCGAAGAAGTGGGCTGTAGTCCACGAAAGCTTATGCTCTAATAAATTTGTTAGTCTCTAAGGTGCCACAAGTACTCCTGTTCATTTAAAAACAGGAACATATCCACTAACTTTTATAATACCCACTTAGAAACACCATTTAAGGAGTACCCATTCCCCAGGAAGAAGTAAATGCTCTTTCTATGCAGGTATTTAAACTGCACACATCACCAAAGTATTTAAATGTTGCTGTTTGATAGTACATAAAAATCTATTATAAGCATAGCAGTGTTGCCAGCTCATGATTTTACTGTGAGGCTTATGTTACTTGGTGTGTTTCTTAAACTCTCAGCTTCTGGAGTCATATGAGTTCAGGAGAATCTCAGCTTTCGTTATTTTTAAAAAGTAATTTTTTGCCCCTTGTGGTTTGGAGAAAAGCTGTAAAATGTGAAACCTAAAGTTTCAAAAAATATAAGATAAATAAAAAGATATTTATTATTTTTAATCTTATGATTTTTAAATGTATTAGATGATTTGGGGGGTCCCGACTTGTGATTTTTGAATGCCCGAGGTCAGCAATACAGGATGTTTTTCTTTAAAATGCAACACAGTGCATTAAGCCTAGCCCATATCAGAGGGTCTTCAATTACTGACAGTTGATCTAAACACAAGGTACACATACTGGTACTTCTGAAAGGTAGGGGTGTTTGTGCTCCTGTTTGTTTGCACAAAGGGCCAGATATGGCAATGCAGGTGCCCTATAGCTAGCTTATAGAGTTTTGGAAAATTCCCCCTGTATAGAAAATCGGGTGAAGCAGCTGGCCTTGCATGAATCATTGAATCATAGAATATCAGGGTTGGAAGGGACCTCAGGAGGTCATCTAGTCCAACCCCTTGCTCAAAACAGGACCAATCCCTAGACAGAGCTTTGCCCCAGATCCCTAAATGGCCCCCTCAAGGCCAATGCGCAAACCACCTCCCCTCACATGGTTCAATCCCACATCCAACCTGACTCTAGCACAGCAAGTCCCCACAGGATATTCTATATGTCACAAGCCAAGACAGACTCCAGAAAGCACCAGAAAAAAGAAAGGAGGTGGAATAGCAGTCCTGCTCCCCGCCACAGTTGCCAACTTTCACATGGTAAATAAGTACTCCAACTTTCACAATAAGACAAAAATCAAGCCAATCCCTAAGAACCCCAACACTCTATGTGATTAGATCCCCCCAGCGTGCAGTCTGGGACCACGGTGGGCCCGCTGTGCACCCCGACTCTCTCCCCCCCCTTGCCCCTGCTTGCCAGGAACTGATCAAAAAAAGAAGCAACAAGCTACAAGCCAAAAACTAGCCAACAAGCAACTCACAAGCCAATTAAGCCAAAAACAAGTCCACTTTCTGTGTTTTTTTCACGGGTTTGGCATGTCTGCTCCCCACAAGTCTGGGATGCACAAGATGTTCCATCCGAGAAACAATACATTTGAGCGCATCCATATGACCAGTGAGATGAAGAACCAGAGGTACCTAGAGCTCCTGGAGTTGTACAATTCCTCCAATGGAAAGCCTGCCAACTTCCTGCAGGATCATATAGAGCTGCTGCCCAGCATGGTATTGGAAGCTCCCAGATTCCTTGTCCTTCACAACCTCAACATTCACAATCTCAATTATACATATTATAGTCTCATGGCTTACATGGAAACCATGGGATTCTCCCAGGCAATCTCTGGACCTATGAATGCAGCCAGAGATAAGTTGGATCACAAGCCCTGGACTTGCCACTGGAAACTTCACCAGCATACCAATCTCCTGATCCAATCAATCATCACCTCATCCAGGCAGAGATCAGACCCTTCTCTACTTCCCATCAGGTGGTGACCAACCAAAGCTGGTCCTCCCCTGAAAACTCCTGAACACCCTAGGTTTTCCATTCATCCCAGGAGAACAAGCCACCTAAACACAAGGTTAAGGTGCAAATGAGTTTGTACAACAGTACAGTACTGTGTTATTCACTACTATCAACAGCTTGGCCCAAGCCGTCCCTTCGCACAGACAACAATGATCACTATGGGTCACAGATGAGCTATGGCAGATAAAGAGCGTATCTAGAAAGGCAGAATTCCAGTGATGCAAAAAACATTTTGAATTCTCCACCATAGCACAAAATAACACTTACAAGACTATGCCACTGCAGTAAAGATGGCAAAATGAGCCTTCGACTCCTCCAGAATCAACGTGGCAGAATCAAGGCCTACAGAGATATCTTGCATAGTGAACTGCCTAATCAACCCAGACTGCATAGCCTGAATATCCAAATACTAAAGCTGTGAAGAACTGTCAACATACTTCAATTATAAGATTAACTGAATACATACATACAGCTAACTTGGAAAGAAAATTCTACCCCTAACTAGATTGCATTATCCTCCCATCACCCATGACTGAGTTTGGTCCCATCACACATGCCAAAACTCAAGAAACCCTGAAAAAATATTAGAATCACAATCAGTGAAGCAGATCTATTTCCCTCCTGACCTGTAAAAGCCAGTGAAGAACTCTTAAGCAAAGTACTAATGGAAATAGTCAATGCCTCTTTCAGAGAAGCACATCTACCAAACTCCTAGAAAAATACAATAGTTTGCCCAATTCTCAGGAAGCCAACACTCAGCCATGAAGATCTTTCCAACTATTGTCCCATCTCCAATCTCCTGTTTCTGGGCAAAATCATTTAGAAAATACTGACCACTAAGCTCTAGCAACATGTGACAGCAGTCAGTATCCTGGATACCTCACAATCAGGGTTCAGATCAGGACACACCACAGTGGGGGCTCTAGTGGCACTACAAGATTACCTCCTCATGGCC